AAGGAATTTTCACATTTCTCATACTTATGTGCACATGTAAATAAGTCTCTCCCAATTGAAATGACTTTGGTGGTTCCTCTAAACATTTCTCTAGCACCACCAGCAGGTCAAAGTTTTCACTTATCTCAGCAGTGGATGGATATGAACAAAATTTGGTAAAGATATCCAAGTTGCCTGTTCTATTGCCATGACATTTTCCACAGAAATTAATGTCCTGCTCAGGTTGAATAGTAGCAAATTTGATCCTCTGACTTTTAATTTAGTGCCAAAGTCAACAAATGATGATGGGGTGAACTTTAGGGGTGAACTGTCCCTTGTATGAAATAATTTTCTTCATTTATTTCTTAATTTATCTTACAAATTTTTGGTTCATTTCATAATGTCCTTCAATATCTTTACACATATTAGTCAGAGTACAGAATTTGTGCTAAATATGAATGTATACATATAGGGTAGATGTGCTGGGGCTGGACAGATTCAGCTGATAGTTTTATTATCAGCAACACCACTGGCACAGAAAACATGTAGGAGGAATTACAAATTGGCCCCCACTGATCATTTTAACACTTAAATGTAGTTTTAAAAGATGCATGTGAGACACAGAGCAGTGTAGCCCTCTGTGACACAGTGTTGAGTCTCAACACAAAGGCATCTCTGTAGCTTCCACCACGGAGTAATTCTAAAAAGGAACACAGAGTAGTGCGCTGCATATAATCCCATGAGCTGCATGAATGCCACCGCAGATTGAATGTGCTGCTCCATCACATCAAACGTTTCTCAAATGTTAACCCAGAATGATATATTCATGTTTTCTTAAAATGGAGCTGTGTCCCTGTGGTATCATCATCCTAATCAAGCACATTAACTGTGTACATCACTGCCAAAAGAGACTGAATCTTTCATCACATGTAAATTCCAGTTGGCAGCAGATTAGTTGATCCTCAATGCTGCTTAAGTTTTCTCCACTGAGTCTTTGATATCACTGATGATGCCAAAGATGTCAGTTATCAGCTTCGCATCTCGTCTCTGATCACAACCACTAAGGGGAGATTTAAATGAATCAAACAGGGGATCGCTGATCTGAGGCAGCGGAATCGTCTCAGGCGTCACGAGTGTTTAAACAGGCAGAGAGGCTAAGTGGCTCTTCACAGAGAATCACTTTGACATCCTCTGCTCCTCGATGCTTCGCAGCTTTACATATTTCCCTCATCTGTGGTCTGCAGAATGTTAACAGCTATCAGAAATGTCAGTGCTGACGGATCTGTATCCTCCCACACTGCGGCTCGGAGAAGCAAATGTAAAAGATGTAAATGTATGTAAATTGTCCTGGATGCTGCGTGTCAGCTTCATTTGACAAAGATACAAAACAACGGTTTGGTTTGATTATTTTAAAAAGAATCTCAACACAACAAATGCGATTTTCCTTTTATTTTGTTGTGGAGTCAGCTCTCTGTCCTTCAGACATGTGAATGTAAGAACAAATTGGCTCACAAGCACAATGAGAGTGTATCCTGTTTACATTTATTCCTCTGGTGAATCATCTGTAAAGCAGAAAAACCTCTGGCTACAACAAAAAACACGATCCTTTGAAAAAACAAAACAAAACAATGGTTTTTTTTTTATTTTCATCAAACAGGATTTTGTTCATGACCAAACAACCAGAATTATGGGTAAAATCTGGAAATGTCTATAGCATGTCACTCACACTCACAACATCACTGTGATTCATTATCAACACTACAGTTACACTGAACACAGTTCAACCAGTGTCAGAGACTCACCACTGTCCCTCATAAAATTCACTCTGTGAAGGGTAAAGCTGTTGTTACTCTGTTTTTTTCTTACTGTCAACAAATCCCACAAAAAAAAACAAATTCAGCAATGTGTTCAACTTCCTTGACCTGTCCACGACCTCAGTCCCATTGGTTAACTAAAGCCTAGTTCACATTATACGACTTTCACTGCCATTTTGACGTTGCAGAGGATCTTGAGAGCCACCTTGATAGTCTGCCACGATGAGTCCTCATGTGTGAACAAGCCTACGCCCCCTCGTCTGTGACTGGGACTGGATATCTGGCATGCTAGAAAACTGGAGAAGTCTGACAGGACTGACAAAGAGCATCAGCCAATGAGAGGCGGGATACGTCCCATGTCAGCCACAGAAGGACGGACGAAATGTGAGGAGGACAAGCCACAGGGTTGCCACTTGTCAGGTCAGCTTATTAGCCGCGACTTTGGGCTTGTTTCTAAAGTGAAGTTGCTTATTTAGGCTTGCTCTCTAAACGTTGTCTTTCTCTATATATATCCATCTAGTAATCTGATCTGATTCAACACTGGGAAGAATATCCATGCCTTTATGTGTCGTCTCCAAGTTAAAAAACGTAGTTTGGTGACGTCACCGTGTTACCTGGGGCTCTGTCGGTGAGGGCTCGGTGGAGAAATCTTGTAGTGTGCACACACAGGTCGTAACACAGTTGGCGAGACTCCTGCTGACAGAAACACATGTTGCCAGATATGAACACTCAAAAGATTACGATAGTCTCAGCCACGGGGTGAAAATCGTGTAATGTGAACTAGGCTTAACCTGTCTCATGATGCTCTGATCCCAGCTCACGTTTTTTATTAGTGAGTGAACAATCCAACGCTTGGACTCTAAAACTTCACCTGAGCCTCCCTCGGCATATGGGTGAGTAGATAATGGCTGAATTTTTATTTCTGGGCGCACTATCCCTTTAAACAGGAGTAAACAGTGCATTTGTCTGGGACTATTTTCAGCAGTGGATTAATACACATTTGGTGGCTTGGAGAGAATTTACAGCACTAGGATGAACTACAGTGTGTGTGTTCATGCTAATGCAGGAACATGCCACCTAGTGCAACAGTGTGGCTCACTGCAGTGTTTTTTTTTATGTTTTTGGTCAATAATAAAGCTCCGAGGCACAGAGAAGAAAGTTACATAAATCAGGTTTTGACTACACAACTTATTGTTTGCTTCAGTGTTTTTGTGGGATTTGATGACAATGAGGAAATTGCAGAATATCGCCAGCTGTAAGGCCTGGTCTCATCAGCATTTAAAATGGCAAAAACTCATGTCAAAATAATTCATCTGAGTCAAATCACCAAGGGTAGTGGATATGGCCACAGGGACGAAGTAAACCCAGGACAATTTTTCACATGGTGTTCAACTTTGGTGAACTTTGACCCACAAGTTTGTGCCGCGGATTAGTTGTAGCTTTGAGGAAATAGAGAGCCAGAGAGTCCACACTGAGTGAAGCTGTCGCAGCTTAGCTGTGTTGCACCCTGTAGTTTCACTTAACCTCCTCTGTCAGAGAATAAGCTGCTCCAAAAAAGACGAATATTTTGGAGATGGTTATGAGACAGGAGTTGATGGTATAGATCCAGATTGCTAAATGACAGCTTCCCTCTTCAAAAACTGTTTTACTTAATGACATGATGTACAATCTGGAGAACAAAATGCCCAGTGCACAGAAAATAGAAAGAAGCTCTGAGAGCTACTGTGATGAACAAGCGTGTTAGCGGTTAGCTCGTCAGTTACAGTAGTCTACAAATAGTCATATGACTAGTCTGTACATCACACAGGCTATACAACCAAATATTTCATAGACGCATGGATGCATTTTGCTGTTACTTTCTGGTGTGACCTAACATTCACCTTTTAAGTGTAAGAATAACTGCAAGAATACAGGATCGAATGTAAAACTGTTGTGATAGTCTTGTTCTGTTGCCTGAAATTGGTTTGACAAAACAAAGAAAAATGTTGTTCACAGTGACTCTATACTGAGGCTGAAGGTCAAACATCTGTTTCCTTGCTTGTTTGCACACATCACTGCATACATCAGTGACTTGCTGCTTATGTTCTCAGTGGATGCTGTCTAAAAAATTCAGATGTTCCTCTCTGGATCTTGACAAGCATTTTACTTCACTGTATTCTTACACAGTGTCCTCCAGCTGCGCTCAGTCTGCAAGATTATCTGGCTGTCAAGGCTACCTGTTGAGCTCCTCTCGACAATCAAGTGCTGCACTGCAGTCGCTCTGCTGCAGGATGGCTTCTTCTTCTTCACCATAGAATGAACTCTCTGGAATCAAAGTTGTGGCAAAGACAACAATGTGTGGCTTCAGCTGTTTTGAGGTGGAGAACAAAAGAAAACACAAACAAAGAGATGAATAATGCACTTTGAAGTTTTCGCAACTTTCGTCATTAAAATCCCATCTGCGCTTTGGGGTCCTGCGGAGAGACAGTGGTGTGTATTTGAAAAACAGCTGCTGTCGATCCTCTTTCTGCTTCTCAACCTCCTTCTATCAGCAGCACTCTTTACACATGGGTTGAATTAACACATGGGGGGATTTGCTTCATTTTCAAGTGTTAATATCAGGCTGTTTTCATTATATTCATGTCTGCTCGACAATGTCTCTCGGATTATCTCTCCGTCTCACTCTGATCATCTCTCTGCTTTCAGTGGAGTCACACACAATCCACCTGTCAGACCGAAGCAGATTAGCATTTCAAAAACACATTAACTGTCTCTGCGTGTAGTGAAGGAGGTGACAGACAGCCACAGTGTAATAGAGTCTACGCTGCTGTCAGTGTTAAAAGCTTTACTCTTCAGAGACATTTAGAGAGCTGGGAGAGGAAGCTCCCAGCAGGTGGCATACAGCAGGGACTAGAAAACTTTTAGAGTTGAGTGAAGAACCTGTGCGAGCCTTTTCATGACATGCTTGCAAACTAGAAACCTTCAGAGTTCATGGATCTATTTTTGTTGCCGGCTTTTGTTGTGGTTTCATGTTACGATGGGAAGAACAGAAGAGAGGAAAGACAGAACTAAGTATAAGAGAAAGAAAAACAAGTAGAAATAAAGTGGACATTTATCCCTACTGTCTAAAAAGTCTCCAAGTCTCTCAACCAGCAGCTTCCAGACTGCAGTGCACCGTTTCTCAAACAGCTCAAATGTGCTCATGGCAATGATTGGAGCAAGACTATGTTGACTTTGAAGACGTCTCTTGTTAACACCAAACGTCTGTGGTAGCACAACACTGCTGGAAAAAAGAAAATCACTCAAGAAAATGTTTAATTCATGTGCTGTCTGGAGTTAGAAAATCATCATACAATGTCCTGGTATTTGGTGGATGTTTGCAGGCTGCAAGGACTCTGACAATGTTTGCACATTTTCACACAGGTTACTCTTCATCAGGGCTCCACAGCCTCTAAAGAGTGCATACTGTTCCTCCCCTGAAGCTCTGCACAAAAAGTCATTACACGTCAACACACTACCAAACACTGGCTCTTATATAATACTCTTCCTGAGGGCTTAATTACAGGTCAAACATTTCCATTTCCAATTAAGCAAACATCCATTCATTATCCTCACAGAAACGTGCATTAACCAAACGACCCCAGCCACCATTCCATGCACCCTGAATCACTGACATAAAGTTGTGTTTGAATACTTTAAACCATTTAAACAAAATTCACAAAACAGAATCTCAGTTCAATATGACAGTGACACTAGTTAGCTGTAGACATGACTTCCACATTTACATCTTTGAATATTTACAACACCATATAGGTCCAGCACTGTTGCCTGTTTGTATCAGTATATACATTATATACAGTAAAAGACAAAACTATGTGCACTGTTCCTTTTTTTTTTTTTTCATATCCTGTGGAGCCTCCAGTGAAGTCTCTGAGAGGCCCTGAGTGCGGCGTAAAGTCCTGAGGCGTGGCAGGACTCCCCTGTCTGCAACCACCAGTTCATCAGGTCATCTGGCCTCCAGTTAAATGAAATACTCCTTTGGGTTTTCAGTGGAGACATTCTGGGAGTCAATCTGGTTATTGAAAGGAAAATCTGGGCTGTCCTCCTGTCTGACTCCCTTTACTTCCTGGTTTCGATACGTCTCTTTTCTCCGGTAGAGGAATCTGGCAGTTATCGCCAGGCCGGTCACAATCACAAAGATCACCACTGCTATGACACCTGCAAGGTATAGGACATTTACTCCGATTAGGACAAATATTTGTTTGATACGATACGATACGTATATCGTATCATATCCAATCGTATCTAATCATATTGATTTGATACGATACGATACGATACGATACGATACAATACGATACGATTCAAGGTGAAATTAGCTTAGACTGTGGAGTTATATCTTGATCAACTGAATACAATGACCACGCGCAGTCTTAATACCTTTAAAACTTTGCACACTTTAGAATTTCGTAATCAAAACCTAGAATGTACTAGTGGCTAGCTTGCAAGCTAACAAGGCACTACATGTACTGCAGGATCATTCGGTAATGAGGGAAGGTGTATCACTACTTTTGTCGAGGCTACTGCTTTTCCCTTGCTTGCAACCATTGTGCTAATTTAGGCTAAACATGTTCTGTACCAGTGCACAGATGTATCCCACAGTAAACTAAATAAAAACATTAATCAAAAGGGCAGTTTAAAGTAAGATTAATGGATGATATTTACAGCTTTTCCATTTGTGCATGGTTCATCTACCCCTCATCACTCACACTTACATAGAGAACCAGTTTCAAATGTTTACCTTATTATTTTAGATGTGTAATTTCACTGTCTTCTGGAAAACAACTGTTTTGTTGACATTTCAGTTCGGTGTGACAATCAGTTTTATGAGACTTGATAGTGATGACATTGTCTGCTTTAATTTTTGTCAGATTACATTATGCTTCTGTGGTAATAAATTGTAGATTTTTCCCAATGATTTCAAACTTACTGCTACTAAACTTACCTGACTTAATCTAATTTAAACCTTTTATACAATAAAATAAGCTGAGGCTGTGAGGAGGGGCCAGAAACACCATTCTGTAGAATATAAAACACTGACACATTATTTGGAAGTTGTTGATAGTAATATAAAGTCAAACAGCTAAAAAATAAAAATACTGCCTGACAACCAGTGGTGGAAAGTAACTAAGTACATTTACTCACATACTGTACTTAAGCAGAATATTAAAGTAACTGTACTTTGCTTGAGTGAAAATGTTGTTCCTTTGACTTCGCTACAATGATTTAAGAGCTATACATTTCAAATTAGGATTTTACATATAAAATATATCAGTATAAAATATGATCCATTGTTACAGGTTAAATGTATAAAGTCAGAAAAACTAGTTCCACCTTTTGTAATGACAACATTAACAAGGACCTCTTAGGCCTCATTTACACCGCAAGCGATGCATTCGCGTAGCGCTCACGAAGCGGTCCACAAGCATCGCAGCAGCACACGTGTATTCTCACCAAAACCGAAGAGATGTGTCGCGCAGCGGCCGCTGCTGTCCCGTCAAAATACAAACCACATCCGAACAGTTGGTGGCGGTAGTGCACCATGTTTGCAAATCTCCAATAAACCCCAAAGAAGTAGAAGTGAGTTTGGACCCTAAGCTCAGGGTGGACAGGTTTGCGCGCCAGTGATTATTCCAATGCTTGGAGAAAATATTTAGCACTACAAATGGGTAAGTACGTGAAACATGTGCCTGTAAGGTCTCGCTTGGTCAAGGGGGAGATGTCTACAGTAGCCAAGAGAGGTCACAACACACGCAAACTTGTGTTTTTTGTTGAATACCGCAACCATTCGCCTGTGACTCACACAAAAAAATGGCGTCTCTTCTATTTTCGAGCTTGCTCGCGAAAGCAGCGTGAATCGAGCAGCGCTTGCGGTGTAAATGAGGCCTTATGCTTGCCATGCTATGCTATTTTTGGTCATATGTTGTTTGTGAAGATTTTGGTTTATAAGCTTGTATTGATGATTTTTCACAGTAGAAAATGCTGCTATTCTCTGCAATGGTGGTGCAGAGGCACCAAGAGCACAGATGTGAAAGTCCTGGAAATGTTGACCAATCAGAGCAGATTTTTCGGATAGGGGGAATCAAGGAGATGTGCTTAAATAGAGTATTTCAGACAGAGGGTGAATACAGGTGTTTCAGCCCATAAATTATGTGGAAAATGAAGTGTTTTTTGAAGATTAAAGCATGTAAACATGTTCTAGAAGAACCTGAAAATGAGCATAAGAGATCCTCTTTAAAGTTCCACCTACATATTAACACTATCACAAATAGCAATGATCCTTAATATAATAACACTGACAGCAGCCACTCTGCATCATGAGTACTTTCACTTTAGATCATTTTAATTACATTTAAATGCAGGACTTGTGCTTGTAATGAAGTATTTTTACACTGTGGTATTGGTACTTTTATGTGAGTAAACTATTTGAATACTTGTTTCACCACAGCTGACTACCACCTGAGCAGAGTCCATATTTTAACTCAGCTGTGACAGTTGGAAGTCTGAATCCTGGAAGCCTTGTTGCCTGCTGACTGACACACTGTCTTCCTGTAGAATAAATCTATCACTGCGGACTTTGGTCACACAGCTTTGAGAAACTGTTGTGATGATTTCTGCCCATCTCTGCCTCCCTTGGGTTTGTGAGCTCTTTTCCCCCGCAGTCTTGTTTGTTCTACTAATCTAAACTTCAATGCACAGGGAACAGAATGTCACATATTTAGACTCCGCTGTACTTTTCTGTTCAGCACATTTCATTACCCAGAGAAAGTTTCATTTAATTGCAATTCCAAAAATACAGCTGAAATCAATTTTGCACTGCATTACTGTGATTTGCATTTGAAGATAACAGCACGAGCATTTCTCAATCAGCAAGTCATTTCAGCTGGGGTTTAATTAGTTCAGCTGTCCTTTGTGCACTGAGACACAGAGGGTACGTCCCAAGTCTCTTATTTTATACTGCTAACTCCTAACTCCTTACTTGAACCGGAAGTCGTTCGAGCTCCGCCATCTTTAAGGCTGTCTCATGTCTCTTATTCCTGCCAGTTAGGAGTTAGCGTTAGGTGTTAGGAGGGATCTGTTAGGTGCGATGAGTAAGGTAACATGAGAGGTTCCTAACAGGAAGTCTTTTTCAGCTTGAGGCCATGACATATAAATACCCGCCCCCTACGTCTGGCTCATTTGAACGAGAAGGCGGAGAAACAGCTTAAGTGTACCCGTTACATGCATTCTTTGCAATGAAACGCTGTAATTCACATGCCTACGTGACTACAAAGAGTAACGTTGATGATATTTCATGCAAGACTGTCATGTTGCAATTAAGTTTATTTCATTCACAACCCGTTGCGTTGTTCAGCGGACTGTCGGTGATGTGTGGCTGTTAAATGTGCAGCTGCTCATGTCCAGAACCACACGCGTTGATATAACACCACGCACGCACACACACACACACACACACACACATTTGCCCATCATTAATTGTCCTGCATGTCATGTGTTACAGCTTTGATCAGCGAATATAATGTGACTTGGGATATACGCCAAATGCTGGCTCCGTTATGCAGCAGATCCAGCCGTGCTGCCGTCACCAGAAAAAGACGTCGCTTTACATGACGCTTCAGAGTAAGGCCGTCTCATGTCTCTTATCAGCAATCCTCGCTCCTCACTCCTAACTCCTGACTCCTTAAATGTTTTCCTAAGTGGGAGGGACTAAACAGTTAGGTAAGGTGGCTAGGTTAGGTGGTTAGCAGTAATTTTAAGGGACTTGGGACGTACCCAGAGTCACACAGATTTAACAGACACTTTCAAATGTCTCTCACTTTTTCCTATCTACACGCTCACAGGAACAAATCAATCTTCACTTTGAATCAATCTGAATGCGCTGAAACATTTAGCAAAAACATTTAATGGGATTTTTTTAACCCGTCACTTCACCTTCCAGCAGATCTTCGCTCATCAATGAAATATTGAATGTAATCTCTGACTCTGATAGATAAAAGAAGTCCAGTACAAACATTGTAAAACGTGGTGAAACAGTTCAGTACCTCCAATCAGAGCCGAGTCAGTCCTGATGGCATTGACTAAAGGTTGACCTGAACCCACTGAACCGGACTGGTCTACAGCAGAGAAAGAAGAAATGAAAGAGGGAAATGGACAAGAGGTGAAAATGAAAAATATGAGGAATATCAGAAAAGCAGAGATGATTTAAAGGAGAGGTGGAGAGAAAATATGGTAAGAAAATAGCAGCATAAAATAGCAGAATAGAAAAAAAGAGACAAGGAAAGAAATTCAGAGACAACATCACAGTATCATCATTCAGAGCAGACAGGGAATACAGCAGCAGCTCTCCAGAGGACTCTATTAAAGCAACATGAATCTGGATGAAAACGAGACCAGAGGAAAGGCACTGGAAACTCCCCTCTGTGGTCCAAATTAATTATCTCATCAGGCACATTGTCATGAGTCTCCTCAACAAGGTGTACATACTTAATGAGCCCATTACACAGTTTTAAATAGCAGCTCCTACCAAGAATAGATACACACGCAGAAACAAAGGGAGAAACTCACAGATTTCTCACTTTAACGACACTACTTTTGTCTGTCTCTTATCCAACCTGCTGTTACATATTTCCCAAACATAACATTAGGAAAGGGTCAACACTGGGCATCTAGGACACAGAGAAAAGCTGTGACATTTAAAATGAGAAGACAATAACATCCTCTAAATTGTCTTTTTTTTCTGCTTTTCAACTCCCATCTGCTGTAAACAACCATGACTGCTGCAAAACAGCATATGGCCAGGCGACTCATTCCAGTTTTTTAGTCATTATGGAAGAAATCAACCAACTTCACAGGGCAAAAATTTACCACTGAGCCCCCTGTTGACTCCGTCCCCACCTTCCACCCTCTGTGTATTCTGAATGAAAGTACCCCATTGCCTCCAAGTTGCAGAGTATACAATGGTTACACACTGGAGCATTCAGCAGCTAAAAAGCCAGAGATTTCCTTCAGGGTTTGGTAGACGCCAACAGCAAAGCTAAATTCTGCATTCTAATGTTGCTCCATAGCTGCTGGATGTGTAAATAAGCAACTGTTTGTTCGCCATATCGACGCAAAACATGATGTTGTGTTCATAACTTGCTTCTGCTGAACTAAATGGCTTTAAATATATCTGTTGCAGTTTTTAACTTGTGATTGTTGCACAAGAAAAACTAAGGTCTTAAAACTTGATTCTGACATGGATACATTATTAGGTAATGGTGCAGAAGCCACATTAGTTCACACAGTGGTTTAGTTGTGCAAATTCCCTAATGAATTAGCAATTCATTAAATTAAATGAAGCTCAGCATGAGTTCAGACAGGAAGACTACCTTTGTGCTTCATTCATTCCCAACACTCTCTCTTTCTCACTACCTCTGCTTCAACCTAATCAACTGATGATGGGCATTCGCTTTTCCAGTTAAACCAATCAAATTTTGCCATGATCTCTATCGGCCAGTCACGTTGTTGCTGTAAAGTTTTAAACTGTTCTCCTCTCTGCTGCTGTCAGCTGTCATTTTATGCTGAATCACCGTGCCCTCCTTCACCCCATCCACGTCTAGTCATCATATTCAGTGCCCAGGTCGAATTCATCAAAAGTCCACTTCTCATCACATGCAGATCTTAGGCACCCTCTTCATCTCTAGGGTCTGGACTCAATAGAGGGATTCCCTATTCTACAACGGCTTCACCACCCCCCTTAAAATATGTGACATCACGATGGAGTCATCCTTTTCTGCACATGTAAATTCTTTCACTCAGAATGAGTCTCTCCTGATTGAACTGACACATAGTAGAGCTGGTACTTGTGGGGTCCCTGGGAGTCTGCTGCCTAGAAAAGTTGCCTGCTTTGCCCAGTTTCTAAGCCAGCCTTGTTTACATCCTAAAGGGCAGGAATACATCGGCCTTGTATAGACAGCAGATCAAGAAACTGTTGGCAACCAACACAAACCACTGTATCGGCAATGAATAAAAATAAGTACATAAGAAAAGTCAGCTGGAGGACAGACTGGTTGTGGCAGACTGGAAGAATCCCAGAACAAGCACTACTTGAGACCAAAGGACACATTTCAAATTCCTTACAAGTCTTTTAACCCAAAACAGATCTCCTTTCACACCGCAGAACCTAAAAACAATCCACAGCACATAACATGTTAGTCAAGTAACACAACTCAACCTACAAACCTGACTCCTCCTCTCTTACCTGACAGGTGGTGTGTGTTCTCTGCTGCGTAGGGATTGGCTGAAGCCGAGGAGCCACAGTTGGACTGGACTAAAGGTCCGGTGATGATGACAGGGCTGGTGTCCGGGTAGAGCAGAGCAGCTTTCAGAGGGCTGATGGAGTTAAAGTGGACCACTGAGAGACAGCCGGTATAACCGAGAGACGCCAGCCTGGCAACGTCTGGATCCATCTCATCGGACTCTGGAGAGAGAAAATGAGAGGGAGGCTTGAATAGCTTGAATATCTTACTAAACAAATCAAGACCAGTTCCTTTGAAACAAGTTTAACAATGTAACCCAGATGGTTCCTGACAAGATTACTTATCTTTATCAAATATCAGATTTAATCATTTAACCCTATGGGCCCGAATGACGCATAGTGCGTCCAAATTCACACCTGTTCTTCTCTATTGATTTTCTCCGCAAGTGTCATAGCGAGAAGCCACGCATATCACGTGAAACAGCGGAAGTGTAGCTTTCCGACGAGACCTAGCACTTGTCGGTAGTCCAATGTTTTCATAGCGAAAAAAATGATAAAGTTAAAATCATGAATAACAGAGCTTTCATACAGCTCTGCACACACATTACTCTTGGATGGATTACTCGCAAATGCAGGCTCGCACAGAAATGCCACGCATATCACATGAAAGCGCAGGAGCAGAGCTTTCCAATGATACCACACACATCATTGTGCTGTCATCCAGATCAAACGTCTACAAAATAAAAACCTGACGCATTTCTTTACAGTCCATTATACAGATCTTGTTATCAGTCACTTCATATAGTGAGGAATATCGTATCTTACCACGTCTTAGGCTTGCGTGTGTTTCTCCCTGTCTATCCACATTTGTAGTCCGGCTTTCAAGATGCAAATATCCAAACTTTGTATGACAAGACCAGCCACTTCACCTTTGTGCACCCAGACAACTGCAGCCTAATTATGCATGCATGACAGGGCCGTAGTCACCATATACATTGAGGGGGACATGTGTGTCCCCCAATGCCCAAAATGCCCCCCCAGTATATAACTGAAACTGAAAAACAATAACAAACTTTGTTTACTGCAAACAAAGTGGGAAATATTATCTTGGATCATTGCACTTGGTTGACTATTTTTCTATGATCTTAGATGTCATAGATAAAACACATTTTTGACTTGTGAATGAGTCAATGGAATTTTTTGCAATAATGAAAAAATACTGGCAATTATGTCCTCCTGGTACAAACCACATGTTTTGGACAACTGTGAAGTGACAGAATGTCCCACCATCATGGTTCTTATATTGCCAGATTCCAGAGAGTCTCCCCTCTTCATATATGGCAGAATATGTCAACTTCCAACTTGCTATGGTGAGATACATGTAAAAATGTAAGAATTTAGTCACACAGATTTGTTCTTTTCATTGATATAAAAATTGATATAAAATACAGGCACATAGAAGGACATGAAATGATGGCAAATCTGGTTAGCCCTGATTGACCTGAAAAAAAACAAGATATAGCATGTGTATGTAGCCTTTATAATGACTGTGATATGAGCTTAAAAGTAAAGGCAGTAAAAATACCCCAAAAACGCCTAGGGCCCATAGGGTTAAATTTACAGTACTGATACTGAAATGATAAAATTGCTCTTCTCCATCTGCTGTTGAATGTACTGTAGCGAGCAAATGTGATGACCCTCCTCCCATACTCTAGATGGCTCTCTTGCTGAGAGGAGGGTCTGTGGCTGACTGAGCCACACCTGGGCCCGGTGTGTACTCCTACTTCCTCTATTGTCAGTTTCAGTCTGAATCCAAATGTCCACACTTCACCGCAATTGCAGACTTGCGAACTTCCCGGGAAAGTCTGGGAGCGCTAAGGGCTCTCCAAAGCTACAATTCATCCAGTCCATAAGGGGCCTCAAGTGGACTTTCTGCAGACTTCCAGAGAGTCTGCTTGGGGACAGATTAATAGGCACTCATCAACTTATATGACATATGTGAAAATGACAGCAGTGATAGTTGAACATTTCCATGGCAATGAGTAAAACAGTCAAGGGCTGTCTATCAGCCACATGCAGTCTCTGCCCTCGCAGATTTTACGTGATGACAGTAAATACATTACGCTATGTCCAGCTGAAGTCCGCGAGGGCTCAGTCTGCATGTCCAGAGGGTGGACATTTGGATTCAGCCTCACTCTCTCTCTCAGCCTGAGGACAGCTCTGGGTTATCACTTATGTCATAGCTTTTGAGCTGGGCTGTGACAAATGGGGGCTCGTCCACTCCATAGACCGGTAAGAAGTGTGTTTCACAGTTCTGCTCATTGTTGTGTTGATGGGTGGAGACTGTGAGGGAAACCTGTGATTAGTATAATGAGTTTGTAGCAGTTACAGTGTGCCTTGTTTTTGTGAATGAGATGCACGATCAGGCAGAAACATGTTGTGGTTCCACAGGAGCTGACTAGTTACATATTTACAATACATGTGATTGGTATCAAATCTCATCTAACCCTTGGCAATAAAAGCAGTGTACTTTCCAAAATGCTGAACTATTTCTTCAATACAAGTGTGACGACCTGCTTTGTTCTTTGAAATACTGACACTCATTTCAAGATTAAAGAAAGAAAGTACATTTTTAATGCTCAATGTGAAATGAAGCACGTTTTTGGGATGGGTGTTTTTTATGGTTCTCAGAGCATAGGTAAACTGACAGGAACCACTGAGTGTCAGAGAAAGAGCTCAGAAATCTTTATTTATCTGTCCAAAGTGTTTTGACTTTTAAACTTTAGTTAAGAGGCTATACTCTCTAATCCAGTAAGATGACTCGCTCAATAAAAATCACAATACACACTGACAGGTTCATTGACTCTACCTCACATTTCCCTGTTATCAGAGCAGGACAACAGTGGCAGAACATTGACTCTAATGATTAGCACGCACACATAACCTTACAAATACAGCCTCATTACAGCAGACACACTGTCAGTGACTGAGCTCCCAGTCTGCATCTATCACTCCACAAGACAGATGTGCACTCTCACCTCTATCTGTTTACTTTTGACTTAAATCCCTTCATCATTCACCTTCATTCCTTCGCAACAGTGTAAACAGCAGCTGTGAAAGCCGACATTACCACTGTAAGCAGCTGCATCAGTGTCTGTTCAGATGACTGAGAGGTGACTGTGTTTTTTACCAGGACACATCTGCATGTTGATGAGAGCAGCAGGAAACATTACTGCAGCCTGTAAGCTCCTCTCAGCTGATACACGCTTCACTCCATCACCTCTCTCCCTCTCTCTGAATTCCTTCCGGGTCCATTAGTTAGGCTGATGGATGACAGGGTTGACAGGAAACGACAGAAAAATCAACTTTCCTTCTGCTTTTCTGATCCTGATTTGACTCTGCCTCCGCTGGTTTGACAGAGGGGAGGACCGGTCACAAGCTGACATGACAGGGTTAAAACACACTGTGCTGAGTTACAATACACTGAAGCTTTACATCCAAATGGACAAAAGATCTGTATTAGTTACTCCACAAGATATGTGGTGTGCATGTTTACTATGACACATTGATTTCAATTATTGTACATTTAGTGGATTTGAATTATTTAACAATAGATTTGGACGGATAAAGGAAGATATCAGCGGCCAACATCATAAAATGAAGCTGCCAAAGAATTTTCCTCTCAATATGGCATATTTTTTAATCATCTTCATGCCCAAAAATGCAAGTAATTATAGTTTTTAGCACCAGCAGATCAGAAATACCAGAAGATGAAAAACAAAGAATTACCAAATAACACATATTCATGCAGGTATGTAAGTAAATCATAATGTAGTAAAACATAAATAAATATAGCCTACTTTTTATTTAGGGTGCCACATGACATCACACACTGCTGCATGCTTTTTTAAGAGTACTTGATTAAAATATTCCAGAAAAAGGCCACTTGAATTAAACAAAATGCAAAGTACTGCCTCGCAACTGTATGCCTCCGCAAACCAGTCAAGTTGTAGTTACAGTTTACTTGTCTGCCCAGTCATTTGCAGCCATGACAGTAAACAATGCTTTCATGATGGACACCCAAAATCAGTGTCACCAATTCAGTATCTGACAAAATGTCTCTCCTTCTGTTCCTGAGTTATGTTGTTGAATAATGGCCAAAAAAGTGTTTCTGCAGAACATTATGATGTCACAGTGAAGCTGACCTTTGACCTTTTGGATATCAAATGTCGTCACTTCACCATTTGATCCTATTAGACATTTGTGTGAAATTTTGTCATAATTAGCATAAGAATTCTTGAGTAATGGCCAAAAACATGTTTTGTGAGCTAACAGTGACCTTGACCTTTGACCTTTGATCATCAAGGTCTAATCAGGTTATTCTTGAGTTAAAGTGGGGGGTTTTGCCAAATTTTAAGAAATTCCCTCACAGTGTTGTTGAAATATATCGCGTTCATAAGAATGAGACAGACGCAAGGTCACTGTGACCTTAACCTTCGATGAGTAAATCTATTGACTTGAGTCCAAGTGGATGTTTGTGCCAAATTTTGGGAAATTCCCTCTAGGCGTTCTTGAGATATTGCATTTACGAGAATGGGATGGATAGAAGGACAACTTGAAAACATACTGCCTCCGGCCATGGCTATTGCCTGCACAGAGGCATAAAAATACTCACAGAAATCATAAAGAGAACACCTCCCGATACATTTTGTTTCTGTGCAAAATTAATCATGTTCTTACGGCCATTATTAGGTATTACCTGATGCATGCCTCTGGTGAAAGCTGTTTCTAATAGCCAATGTGTTTCCTGTTAAATTGACCATGCAGTTGTTGTGTCTCTGTCTTATCAAAGAGCTGTGACTGCAGCCTGCGGCCTCTCATGTTATTAACATCTTATATCTCAGCCCGTCTCTGATGGAGCCGCTCAAAGAGAACATGAATAAGTCATGACTGAGCCAATTACTGTCTCGCCCTGATTCTATAAATGCTCCCTGTCCAGGACTTCACACAGGAGCTCAGTGAGGATGTGGTTAAACCCTCCCAGAGGGTAAGGACTTTTTAACAGGCTTAAAATCGGTGCAGGTGCATTACAGGAAAGTATACTTCTGGTTTAACTTGACCCTGCACCCATTTACTAATGCTGAAAATATCCATACCTGCTGAGGCTTCTCGACGCTGTCTAACACATTTCTCTCTTTTTATCTCTCCTGGTAATGATATAAAGTGAAAGCAGCTACATGATATTCACAACAACTAATCAATTATGCATCAAACTCTTCTAGACTTGTTTTGACAGCTAACTTGAAACCAGCACAGATTCAGCATAATTGGAGTAGACTATGCATAAAGTTGGATGCAAACAAGCACTTTATAATGAGATTTCTGTCTGGGTTTGCATTTTTATTTATTATTATCTGATTTTCACCCACTTAGAAAATATTAACACTGATATTTTACTCGATTTATTTATTGGAAACTTCAGAACTATGTTATTATTTGGTGTTAAATAACCAAAATCTATAAAACAGCAGATGCACAAAATAGTAAACTAGCAGTTAAAAACGAATCACTCTGGACACAGCCTTTGTTGCAAGTAGATAATTACATTATGCTGTGCTCCAGACAACTTGGAGCTTGATATTTCTGACCTCCTACTTGAAGAAGTAGAATGGAATGCCACTCAATGTCAGAGTTCCTACTTGTAAACTTGAGGCAAATCCATCTGCCCTGACTTCAAGAAGAAGCAGTTATCTGATGTCACACAACAGTGGCAGCACTCACGGATGCACACATTCTAACTGGCAAACCATCGACTAAAAGGTAACGTGAAGTTTATTAACTATCATATAGTATAACCTTTTCTGTATGTAAATTGATGTCAAAGTGTGCCACCAAAGTTTTAAGGTAGGTGAATATGGTAAACAGTCTCTGAAAGTTAACTTCTCTGCACACAAGCTATTCAGGAAATTGTTAAAAATGCCTAAAAGTGTGGAAACATTAGGGGTATACAGCATTTACTTATCTTTGAAGATCAACATGCCTTAAAATAAGATGTATAATGATGTCTGTGCCGCCTCATGTGTTGCTTTTCCTTCAGTATTGTTTATATATGCACTGCTGAGAGTTCAACTGTGTACACATTTGCCAAAGAAACATAAGTTTGTTACAGTCATTAGCATTGTACACTTGGGATGCTTGAAGATCAGAAGTTAGAAAATTCAACTGGGAAATTCCAACCTCTGTCTTCTATTTGAACACAGCATTAGACAAACCAATAAGTCTGCTTAAACTACAAACTACTGAATGCCTTTAGGCCTATTAGCAACAACACACATTAGCTACCATGTTAGCTATCTTTTATTTTGTAGCTAACCTGATAATGTTTAACCATCCACAGGCAAGAAACACATGCATCTCTAAACAAAAACAAAAATTGTTCCAGAGGTTTAATCTTTTTTTCTGTCTTGTGTAGCAGGAAGCAGTGTGGTCTAGTTTAAATTAGATTAGAGATTTGATTGGATACATGACCTCCTAATCTTCACTGCTCAGACTGTGAGTGAAATTAAATACAAACAAAACAAACACTGATGGACTCGACCCACGCCCCGCCCCCCCGCCCCCCCGCCCCCCCGGTGCTGCCTCAGTTGAAAATGCTGCGCTAAAGTGCTGCCCTCTTGATTAACAAAAACGAGAGGATGTGCCCTTTTGGCTGCCCTCTTGAGTGATCAAAACAAGACGATGTGCCCTATTGGATGAAAAGAAGTGGATGTGCCATTTTGGCTGCCCTCTTGTCCCCATGTCTTGCAGTAGGTGCCCTTTATTCCTTTTTGCCCCTGCCCTTCAAACATCCTGAGTCCGTCACTGAAAACAGAACCTTCATACTAAAGTACTTCTTACAGTTTGCCTCAGACTTCTCCTTCAGATAACTTGAATAATATTTCCATTATGTGCAAACAGCTGCAGCTACATTTAGTCCTTTAAATATTCCACAAGGCTGCTGACCAGGTACAGGACGACTCACATTGTACACATCTGATCTTCTTTACATTGAATTTCCAACAAGTTCTGGATCAATTTTAAGGTTGTTGTTTTCATATAAAGAGCCCTGCATAGTCAGGCACCTGCGTACATCTCTGATCTGCTCTATCCCTCTATCACCTTTAGGTAACTTGGGTCTTCTGACCTGGGCTTACTTGTGTACCTCATGCTCAACTGAAACAAAGGTGAAAATGCCTCTGAAGTGCTGCCTCCAACACTGTGTTAAACTCTTCCTATAGACATTCAAGTTACAGTCTCTGTTGATGCCTTAAAAAAGCAGCTGAAGACTCATTTATTTAAACTGGTGCTGTCTAGTGTTTCTCCGTGAAATGTCCTATGCTAAATAAACTTTACTTACTTACTTAACTGTGTGTGAGACGAGGCAAAACATCTTAAAGCTGTTAATCAAGAGTGTATGTCCAAATGCTCTCTCACTAAAAAGGCCTCGTCTCTGCTTTTACTGCCTCCTCACTTACCTTGCACTCTGCCCAATACCAGCGACTTGATGGCGTTGAATTCTCCGTCAGATGTCAGGTTGAATTCCTCTCCGGCATTTTGGTCAATCTGAAAGAGGAGAATTATTTCCTAAATTTGCATTTGGAAACGTCCAACTTCAGTGACTACCAACAGTACATATCGTATACACAGAGATTTTATGTTTGAGAGTGTCAAAAGATATGATGGGAATTGTCCGGACTGTGGTGAGCATGTATACAGTATGTGCTGTTGAAACACTAGCAATAATCTTTAATTGGCCAAAACACACCCAATATAATGTAAACCTTTTGTAAATAGTTGTTGAGATCTTCAGACTTAACTGTCACCTGTGCCGTTATAGTAACGATATAATGACCCAATATGATGGAAATTGATAACATTGGATGCAACTCATATTTCAATGGAGCCTCACAACACAGTCAGACTCAGGAGGCTGCACCCATGCAAGAAGAGGTCACCTTGTTTTTCATCTCAGGGTGCTGATAATTATACAGACATTCAGGCTGAAGTTAACCTCATACATCATCTGAGGCTGTTGTTAACAAGATAAGACATTCAGTAGATCCAGATATGATTATAATGCTTCATATTTCATCTGGAGTTGTCTTAATGTGGAGTTTGTCCCTGCTGCCCTGCCGTAGCTGCATCCAGGACAGTAAACTGCTGACGGGGGCTTTATCATACAGATGAATATCACAATACTGTACCACAGTACACACGAGGAGTGGATGGAAGAGACTGCCTGTGTGTGCATCTGTATGTGTGTTGTTGTGTTTGCCCTTGAGAACGGAGCCTCATTTGGCAAACATGGAAGAAGGTCAAACAGCACATCAGCAGCAGCTGCGTTTTTACAACACTTGCAGTCAGTTACACAGTGTTTTAACTTCAGTGTGTAAGTCGAAAGAAAAAAGACTTGGAGGCCAAAAAGACGTGGCAACACTTCACTTTAACTGTCCCTATTTAGTACCTATATACAGTATGTAAACATTTAAGGGAACTCTGTTTCTTGACGTGGAGGTGGTTGAGCCAGCAGCTAGGTGGTGACTCCATACACAGCGCTAAACAATGGCAACAGTGCTAAAAGAGCTAACAGTGTTAACAAGGGCAGAACTGGAGGATGGGTACTATGCTTCAGCACTGATGACATCCTGATGTCAGCCGTAACAACTGTATGTGTGGAGTGCAAAGCAGCACTCACCTAGCCAATGGGCTAACATGCATGTGCGTCCGGGCAGGCTTGCCACAGCAAACCACAGAGAAGCTCGAATTAAAACACACAGAGGTATCATAACTTCAGACTCTGCTCAGGACACTATTACTCTGCTATATCTGTACATAGCAAACTGGTTTGCTGCTACATTAATGCTGTGAATGTTACATACAGAACCTTTAATGAATGACTTATAACACGCTATAATAGCTGTAAGTTGACATATGTGTTTCATATTGTATTTGTCAACATCTTACTCCTGTGTGCACCCAGCGGAGTGGTTGTGGAGGCTGGTGTATAAACAAATACTGAACGACAATACATTAAAACACAAAGTAAATATATAAGAGATGTCTTCACAATTGCTAAGGCAGTCCTTATATCTGCCCACAACTGCATTATAGTGTGTTAAAACCGCTTATTAAATGCTGGCATATAGGAGAACATAAAGTAAAGTATTACCAAGAGGTTTCTGCTCACAGCGGCTGGGAGTGAGCTGCGGTTATGCTGCTGCTGTAAGCAGGTGTGCTTAAAATGTAAGCATGCTGGTTCAGTCAAACAGAGGCAAACCAGACGTGACTGAAACATGTCCTTTGTAGACAAGGTGTTCCACCATTTCCACGCTAACAGAGTACATGTCTTTTCCTGAAAAAGGCCAATAAGCAGATAAATTGGTACGGTCCATCCTATGGTAGAGAATCTCTGCAATGATTGTGCATTTTCTGTCCTTAAACCTGCAGTAAGTAATATTTTTTATTTTACAACTGAATCAATCTGCAGCTTTGCGGCAAATTTAAGTTTATTTTAGCTCATTGTTTTTCCTTTGAAACACATTCAATGTATAGTTGAGTTGGTTCTCGCCAGCCCCTATGTATACTGTAACAATCTAGCCAGCTGTTTCCTTCAAATAATCTCTGACAAACCAAACTCATGCTACCTGCCCCGCACTAAACACAGGGCTTCAAACTCTGGTGCACTGACTCATGCAACTGACATTTTTCACACACTCTAAAACAACATGTCCATCTTCTTATCCAATAAAAAAAACACATTTATTACTTATAACGCTGGAGCTTGAAACGAGGACACTTACACTTGGACATACAGGACAGAGCAGCACAGTGCAAAGTAAAACACAGTGGTAAAGTGAGCTGTTGTTTGCAAAATCCTGGTCAAGCCAGTGACACCTGGATTTTGATGCACGTCTATTTGTGCTATTACGGTACCAGTGTTTGGAGCAGCCAAAAAGGACGACTTAAGACTTGTATTACAGCAATAACTTATCGCACATCATATATTTAATGTCTTTAATTTTCCGTATTAGTTTTGCTGAGAAGCGCAATGGATTTCTGTTCAAAATGCTCCTATGAACATACTTTATATTAAGTATTTTCACAGCATATTACTGCACAGGAAATGACAGCTCAAACGAAAATGTAACACGCTGAAAATCTCCTCGGTTTAAAGCTCTCATAAATTAAATAAATTGATGTTTTTCCTTCAGTGGTTTGCTGAAGTTTTCAATGCAATCCTGTTCAGAATGACCCTGACAGTGACCATGTACAATCTGAAGTCTATTTTTACTACCTCATTCCATACTAAACTGAAAAGTTGGCAGATATCTGGGGTATTTTAACCACAGCTAAAAATGACATATTTTATCGATTTGGTTGAGATCAAACTGAAGCAAAACAGAGGGTTAATATTTAACTAACATTTGTCAGATGGCCAGAAACAAGACTGCAATAAGGTATTCTCATGTTACTTTGTGTCTGCTTGGTGTGTTTGTAGGCTATTGTTTGCTAAGGTGTTCGCTGCAAAGACTTGTCAAACTACTGAGGTGGTTTTACCTGCACAGTCACAGAGTCCGTCAGTCTCCTGATGGTTACAGTGTGAAGGTGTCCATTGGCCAGGCTCTTCACTCTGCTCCTCAACACCTCAACATCTCTGCTGCTGTCCAGTTTGTATCTCACCTCCAGCACATCTTCACACACAAAACAAACAGCAGAACATGGGATTACATTTTAGATATCACAAAAAGCAATCAACCTCCAGAGCTGTTCTTTCAGAGTAAGAGACATGCTTTAATATCCTTAGAATTTAAAACGTGCCAAGATCTAGTTTTTGTTTTCCTGACAGTGGCCTTGTCATATCCTGTAATCTTGGCTTACAGGGTAAACACATATTCAATCCTTTAAAGATAAATCTGAGCATTTTAAAGAAGTGGTTGCTCTATTAATTAAGAGTTCTTTATCAAGAGGGGCTAATTCCATATCAGTAACTAATGTAATCAAATCTAGTTATTTATCCTAATATTCATAATATTAACAAAAGATAAGTAAAGATAAGAACTTACAACTTGTCCTTCAAAAGATTTTTTTACAGCATGTGCTGTATTAGTTTAATAAACACAATAAATAATACATGAAAGCCTCACAACCACTAATCACTACTTGTCTTTCAGAGGGAATGTGAAGGAATAATTAGTTATTGTAGGAGGACCTCTAGCTACATGAACCAGCTGCTCTGATAACACATTTATTCTTTAAATGATGCCTTAAGTAGAGAGGTTGTGTTTGGGCTGAGGAGGTAGGAAGAAATGAGCCATCTCTGGGCAAATAAGAGAAAGCTTTCAGGGATTTAATTGGACACTTCAGTTTAAGTGCATTTACCTGACGACTCCACGGTCAGCTTGAAACCTTAATGCCCTGCTGTCCATCAGCTTTCTCTGAGTCATTAACACCAGCAAAAAAATCCATTTACAGCTAATCTGGCAGCATAGTGCCAATTTTATTAGACTACTGGATGCTGAAAATGTAATTTTAAATTCAAAGTGCCTCCTACTACTCTTAAAAGCCAAACATAATTATTTTACACAAAAGTGTATAAAACACATCAGCAATTTTTCTGCAGTTTTATTCAGCAGCACACTGACCTGCCAACCATTAGCAGCCCACCAAACTTTTATTCCCTCAGCATCACTCATCAGGTCTCAGTGAGAAGACCAGCGAGCACTTTTTTTTCCAGCCTGAGACAAAACATAATAGCCAGCCCGGCTGGACGGATTAAAAGGCAGCAGAGGCTGACGGGGTGAATACAGAGAGAGGAAAGATCTGACAGATCCTGATCTGGTAAAGCTGCAGAGCACAGCAGAGGATGAGGAGGAGGAAGAGGAGAGGGAGGAGGTAGGAAAGGAGGAGAGGTCGATATCAGGAGAAGATGACAGGAATGAGAGGGAGAGGGGAGGAGAGGTAAGATGAGAGGTTGGGAGGAGACGCCAACAGAGAAAAGTAATTGAAAAAAAGTTGAGGGAGGAAGATCAAAAGGGGCAAAAAGGAAACTCTTGAATAGACTTGTAATCTCTGAGGTTTGAAAAATGTGGATAAAAACAAGAGGAAAGGACAGAATAGAACAACAAAAGAGACAACGAGGCGAAACAAAGAGGCGTAATTAGAGGTAAGAATGAGAATTTAGGAGCATTGTATCAAAGATAAAGGAAAAAGCAAGAAACTTGCAGGTAAAAAAGGAAGAGAAGAAACTTCAGTGCAAACGTCTTATCCTCAAGTTTGAATTATCTTGTTCAAGAAGAATTCAAACAAAATGAAACCCACATAGGAAAACAAAAAACAAGGACAGAGACCATTAAAAAGGATGAAGATTTAAATCAAAACAAGACACTTCACCACAAGGTTAAACATACACCATTTAAACAAACTCCTTCAAAATAAAAGCCTCCTCACCATGCTTGTTGATGAGCAGGGCCAGGTACTCTCTGTAGTAGGAGCTGACGTAGAGCAGCAGAGCCGGACTCTGGTTGGTCCTGAAGCTCAGGGAGATGTTCTCTCCTCTCAGCGTCATGTCCGAGTAGATGGAGGACGGCACGGCGCTGCTGTTCCTGCTCAGCTCATACGGCTCCTTGAAGGTGTAGCTGACGGATGTCCCCGACTTGAAGCTAGCCGACACCTCTGAAGGAAGAACATATCTGATTTAATGTACATGGACATTTAGCAGTGTGACTAATTTTTAATTCACTCCTTGGTGTGGTGACAACTTGACTTTCAACATGGTAGCTTGATTAAATTTGGTAAATTCTTAATCCCAAATGGGACTCGAACCCACGACCTCTGGCTTAGAAGGACAGTGCCAGTGACAGTCCCACTAACAATAAGATCAAATCCCTATCATAACAGATAGTAATACAGACTTAAGTCGCAGTTTCCAAGCCCTGTATTCAACTTAATATTTTTTATCTTGTTGGAAGTGTGGAGGAATTTTGCTATATTGGAACCCTCATCCTCAGGCAGACAGAGACAGGTGTGCTTAAGGTCATGTTCGGGTCAGCAGCAGGCCTAAAAGAGGCCTTCAGGTTAGGCTTCTCTACTTCTGTTGCAGCCATGTTTCATCCATTATCTCCAACTGTGATGGAGGAATCACAGCTACCCAGATAAGAGGCACTGGCTGGCTCTGTTACTACAGCAACCAAAGTTACGAAACGAAAGGTTGTCCTGTGCCCCAGACTCAGCAGACATAGTCTCTTCCTAGATATGCTGTCGTGCATGACTGGTGAGAAAGACAAGGTGATTTAGAGTGAGCAAGGTGAGCTATTGGGTTGTTTAGAGTCAGTGACCAATAGAATCTTTACACACTTGTAGATTGGTGAAGAAAACATTCGCCAGTCGCCAGACTATCACAGGGCTGACAAATAGAGACAGACAACCATTCATGCAATTGAGAGCCACCAGTTAACCTAACCTGCATGTCTTTGGACTGTGGAAGAAAACCGCCCTGACAGAGGGTGACATGCAAACACTGCACAGAAGGGCTTCCCCACCTTGGGATTGAACCAGGAACTCTCTTGCTGTGAGGCAACAATGCTAACCACTGCACCACCATGCTGCCTAGGGTTAAATACAAGGTCTGGACAAGGCCACCATCAGGATCTCTAAACGGCATACACCGTGTTACACTCTGTATGTTCCACTGTGATTCTCCTTGATCGAGCCATCATTAAATGCTGTGTGTAATCCATCAAAGTCTCTGGTGATCTGCAATTTCTGTTCATCAGGGAGGTAAGTTCAAAACAGAAAATAAAAAAATACATATTTGTACAAGCCACGCGTTTGTCTATAATATGCTGCTTACATGCAGCACAGAGGAGGAAGTTCCAGAATTCACCAGGGCTTATGAGTTTATTTGACAGAGATATTGCGTAATAAAAAATATTGTTAACCAATAAAACAGATTAGCCAAAAGGCTATTTTTCATCTTGTAGTCCCTGGACATAGTCACCCTATGGACATCTGGCCAATTACTATTTAACTTAACAAAAAAGTACCAACAGTAGCAAAGTGATGACTTCAAAATTATCACAAACAGAAAAGCAGGAAAATGTTCACATTTAAAAAGCTTGAGCAACTTTTTTTTTTTTTTTGGTTAGATTATATCAACAATTATTTGATCATCAAACATTTTTATTGATTAATGTTTTCTTAACTTTCTAAGTCTCACTGTGGTTGTCAGACTTTTTTCAACTAGACATACCTCCTTGCGGTTGTATGCCTCTCTGAAGCAGTCAAGTTACATTGAATAACGACTAAGAAAGTGCTTTGGCAGAATGTCATGACATTGGTGTGGCCATTTGCCTTTGGGATATAAAATGTCATCATTTCATCATCATTTATTTTATCCTGTTTGATAATTGTGTGAAATTTTGTCATAATTACCAAATGTGAATTCTTGAGTTATGGCCAAAAACATGTTTTGTGAGGTCACTGTGACATTGACCTTCGACCACCAAATTCTAATCAGTTCGTTCTTGAGTCAAAGTGGGCAATTATGCCAAATCTGAAGAAATTCTCTTGAGGTGTTCTTGACATATTGCATTCATGAGAATGAGATGGATGCAAGCTCACAGTGGCCTTGACTTTTGACTATTAAAATCTAATCAGTTCATTGTTGAAGTGTCCAATTGGGCGTTTGTGCCAAATGTGAACAAATTTCCTCAAGGCTTTCTTGAGATATTGTGTTCAGAAGAATGGGACAAACAACCTGAAAACATAATGCCTCACTCACGTGGAGGCGTAATAATGTACCTCCTTTAAAATATTTTTTTCAGCCAGGCACCCCCTGACCAGTGCAAAACATTGTTGGTAGAAACACACAGTGAACAACGTCGTCATGAAGGTGATTGACTTTGCTGCAGCAGTTTACCCCAGTTAAAGATAACCAGAAAATATGCATATTGGATGTAAAATTGTTTTATCAAACTTAGATTTACATTTTTTAATGAACCTATTATAGTATAATTATTTTAGGAATCATGCCTGACCGATATCTTTTAAATTAACATTTTAAAAAAACTTCACATACCCCCTGCAGCACTCAAAAGTACCCGAAACACTGTTCTCTTTGTTTTCAGCTTTAATCACTACTGGAGAATATGAACTAACACCCTCATTAAGTTCTTAATCCTTTATGAACAAAATTCTACTTTGAAACCTTTATTTATTTATTTATTTTTTTTGCATTTCAAGGTGTTTTTTTTCAACCAGTAAATGAATGATAATTTCAAGAGCACAGTACAAAACATATAATTAGACTGACGTTACAGATTTTTCAGAGCTTTAATTAACTTCCTGGGGAGGCAGCAGAACAACTTTGCATGTCTGATTCGTTAGCGGAAGAATAAAAACATGTTCTCAAAATATCTGTAGAGAGTTGACAAAAAAAGAGAAAATAGTCTTTAGATCTGTCGAAACCTTGCTTTCAGTTTTCAACAGGAAACAGAGATGAACTTTAAATATTAAACACAGCTGGAGTGTGTCACTGTGACTCACAAAGGCATCAAAAACAAACTTTCACTCTGACTCAGCACGAGGGGGCATATATCAGTAGATATCAATATTTTGTGGGAGGACGGAGGAGTCCTTTTCAAAAACTAGAAATGGCTGTGCTCACTTCAGTTAAAGAACACATGGACAGCATAAAGGTCAATGTGATGACGCATTATTACAGATAAAATACATGACTAAAATAAAACGCCAACACATCAGACAAACACTATTTGCGTTAAACCTTTGATGTCGTAGCAGCTAAGCGTTTCTTGACGAATGTTCAGTACAGTGCAAGTGGTGAAAAGTTTTCTGATATAATATAAATTCTTAATCTTTAGACAAAGCAGATGAACACCCACACATGGAGGATGTCATTACTCACACTGTTATTTTTAATCCATAAGAGTTATTAGAAGTCATCTTTACTGAGACAGAAGTTCAAGACTCTGCTCAAAATAAGTGCTGCTGGGACTCTTCTCCCCAAAGAACTACAAGCGGACACAGGACATCAACACAGCTTTAACCTTAGCTGTTGAGATATATTATGAGCAAACAACGGTAAATGCAGACCAGAGGGAGAGGATAGAGGCATGAAGTGACATCGTGCAGCACGTTAATGTAACAGGGTTTGACAAGTCTCCTACAGGGAGGTCAAGGCAGGTGACGCCACTGAAGGTTGACTCCACCCAAAATCTAACTTTTGAATATCAAATACTTTTCCATCTTTAGACTTTAAAAAGTTTGGCTGTACTTTTGCCTTTCACAGTTATTGTGGTCAGCTAAATAAAACCAATAAAATGTCTAAAGAATCTTCTCAAACCACTTCTGCTGTCCATCTATAAGCTCAGTGTGTCCACAGGCACAATCCTACCAAAGTATGGCTAAATATAAACTATGACTTCTCAATATATCTTCAAGCAAGACCATGTTGAGCATCAGATTGGTGCCTGGGAGCGTTCAGATCTAAAGATAACCCAGCAGTGGGTTTGTCAGGTTAGCCAATCAATGACCGAGAACAGAAGGGTTTCCAACAAAGGTAGAGCCAAGCACTCTAACCTACAGATACAACAAAAACCATCACACTGGACTGAATTGAAGTTGTGCATTTAAGCAACAACTGGGCAACAACATGAACATTTTGAGCAAATTATAAGTGGAGACATGGGTGACACTGCAAAGGTGGTTTGAGAAGTGAAGCGTCAATGTTCTGACAGCTTATTACCACTATAATACATCGATACAGTATGACTACAAAACGTAACCTTAGAACAGTGAGTTTGCAGTGGTTAGCATTGTTGCCTCATAGCAAGAGGGTTCCTGGTTTGAACTTGGGGTGGGGTGTTAGGGAGAGCCCCTCTGTGTGGAGTTTGAATGTTCGCCTTGTGTCAGCTTGGGCTTTCTCTGGGTACTCCGGCTTCCTCCCACAGTCCAAAGACATGCAGGTTAATTGGTGACTCTAAATTGTCCGTAGGTGTGAATGTGAGTGTGAATGGTTGTCTGTCTCTATGTGTCAGCCCTGTAATAGTCTGGCAACCTGTCCAGGGTGTACCCTGCCTCTCACCCAATGTCAGCTGGGATAGGCTCCAGCCCCCCCATGACCCCCAACAGGATAAGCGGTTACGGAAAATTGATGAAAAAGTTTAATATAGAGTGATACTGAACCTTATCACAAACCCCTCAGCTCTTCAGAGCTTTTTAGCCCCTTTTAAATCATTGTTTCAGTGATATGGCACATTTACTGTTTAGTTCTGTCTCACTTTAAACCGACTGTATGCTAACTCCTCCGCATCACATGGCAGACAGACACAACTAGTGACTACAGCAGGTGATGAAAGTCAAGCGTCTTGTACCAAAGAAACAACTGGTGGAGACAAAAACAGAGCTAAAAGGAGGGTGATTATTGGACTCACACTGATCAGGTGCACAGAAACAAAACTCTAAATGAACTCTAGTGTGGCTCTCTGTCTTTTGGAAATGTGAATCAACAGCTGTTTTCTGAAGTATTTCCCATAACAACTTCATAAGGCAATAATATGCCTTGGCTGTTCATCTGCTGTCTTGTTCTACCCTCAAGGGAAAAAAAATAACGAATGCAGCTTTAATTTGCTACAAAATTATCATAAGCTTTTCTAGCAAAGCAGCTGGTGGAGTCACTAACTTCACCTGCCACTGGAAAACTTTACTTTTGTGTGTCTTTGTTTGTGTTTACCTGTGTGACAGAAGACTCCAGTGTATGCGGACAGGCTGCAGTCACAGTGGAAGCCGTTGGCTCTCTCCACACAGCGACCCTGGTTCTGGCACAGTGAGCCATAGCTGCTGCAGTGACCCGGGCAGCCGGGTCGAACCCCGGGTGTGATCTTCGCCCTCTCCTCCAGGTCCAGGGTGACGCCGTTCAGCTGCAGGGAGCGAATACAGCCCCGAAAGCCCTTCTGCCTGGACGCTGTGCCTCCTAACAGCATATAAACAGCGCATGACATTAGCATAACATTTACATTTGAGACATTAAATTAATCAGCTGACTCCGGAGCTCCCACACTTAAGTAGCAGGGTTGTACCAAATGTCAGTTTTTACATTAAAGGCTTCTGTTAAGGTTTTTGAATGGAGTCTCAAACGTCTGTTGTCATATTTATGACGTCATCACCCTAAACAAAATAAAAAATCCTCAAACAAAATCCTCAGTTTGAATAAAGTGATTCATCAGACTAAATGAGTCAGTCTTTATTTATAATTGAATCAACTTTCCTTAATGAATAAATGTAATTAATGGTGCTGTTAGCCTGCAATTAGACCACCTCATTCATAGTGGTGCATGCCTCCTTTTGTGTTCAGGAAGCAGGCCAATGAAATGTTGCTTTCGAAAAGCCAAAAACCAACAAACAAGTAGAAAATTTAATTCGATAAAAACATGTTGTGAATTTTAGAAATTATTACATCTATGTTTTTCTTTTGTAATTTTGACTTTTGGACTTAGAATGCTCTGGGGTTATTGGAAATGTTGGGATTGCATGGAATCTAAATCTACAAATATTAAAATACTAATAACATTACTCCAGCCTGACCGCAACTGTGCAGAAATACCAGGTTTAAACAGAATGATTAGACATGTTAAAAAAAAGAAGCTGCACAGCAGTTGAATTTTGATTTACAAATTTGAATGTCAACGTCATGAATGAAGCTTCAAGCTTTGAACTATTTCGTACAGCCCTACAGAGTGGTGACAAATATTCCTGTCTTAAGCCAAGGATCTATTTTAACACACTTGTCTGTGTATTGACAAATCCATTTTCTTTCTCTCTAGTTTCTTATTTCTCCTCCTCCCGTCATCTACAGCAGATCCACATGTCACCTCTGCACCCCCAGAAGCTCTAAACTGTCAACACTCTTCGTATGAAGTGACACAGCGATGAAACAGCAATGAGGCAACAAGCTGTAGGTGGAAAACTGAACTGGGGACATAAGTTTCATCAGCTGTCCGTCTGCCTAATGCCGTGCTGGCTGCTCGCTGGATAAGTGGCTGATTGCCTGTCTGACAGCACACACAGCACACGCTGCCTTTATTGTTCAACACTTCAGATACAAAAGATAAAACTCTGCATTCAGCATTGCACATTCCCTCTGCGGTGTAACATGGTCACCTATTGTTCACATGCTTCAAACAATACAACCTCCCATTTTTACAAAGATCAGAGATTGAAACTGTTATTGTGTTCAGAGTACAAACCTGGCAGCTCTTTGCTCTCAGAGTTTGAAGCTGACAACTTCCTATTGTTCAGCAGCAGCAGCTTTTCACACCAATAAATCACAGAGCGCTGTTAGACTCTCCTGCAAGCCTCCTCTCTCTTCTCCGATATGCCTCGTATGAATTATTGAACCAGCTAAGCAACACAGGATATGAAACCTGCCTCAACATTTCCTCTGACACAACACAATGAAGAGTCATTTTTTATCCTTATTAAGTCCACTGAAAGTCATTGTTCAACATTCAGATAATAAGATTCAGGAAACTTTAAATGACTCCAATACAGAGACTCTCCTGCCTGGAATCGGAAATCTTTAAGCAATCATTCATAGGGGTGACACACTGGCTGCTCTCACATGCACATTAATAATATGACCTTACATGTGTATTATGACATTTATGTAAATGTCTTTTGTTAATCAGTGTCAGAATTACAGCAAATGTATACCAGCTATTACATCTAATTTTACGCCACCTTTAAAAATTGTAAATGGCAGACATCAGACAGTTACCCACAAGTCACCACACTTTGAACCACAATAGCACTTGAAACATAATGCTGTTTCATGTCTGTGCAAACATTTAGTACACTTTGCACTTTGTTTTGTTCTCTTGTGACAACAAGAGCTGGATGAAATTAGTGAAAAAGTTGGCCCCCTCTCAAAATCTTTAAAAGTCCTGGCAATTCTCTTCGGTGTGAACAAAAGCAAGATACCAAGGTTACAAACACTGAATCAACTCTAACTCTGGATGTCAGTATCCAACTGGGTTGTCCTTAAATAACTGTGAACCGCTGTAACAGTAGGAGAACACCAGAGCTCTTTATTCCGGTATCTTAAAGGTAGCATCTAGCCTCACTTGTGGGACTGTCATGTCATGTGAACACTTTATTCTTAAAATTTAAAGACACTAATTAAAAGAACCTCTGACCAGAGATATTTTATTACACTTTATACTACCCTGGTATTTTTCACTACTATAAATCCCTGCTTTTAATTACGGCTATCAGCTTTAATTTCTTTTACACTGTTTATAAGATCATGTTTTTCCACCAGGTTGTTGAGACAGATGGCTCTAAATATCTCGCTAGGAACAAGAAGAGAGATGTAAATTACAGTTTGTCGCAAATTCAGCATGTAAATGAGAACAAAACGCTGCCTCATTTTTATCTGAAACTGAGTAAGAATCTGAAAGTGCACTGGTGAACTGTTAAATGTGTTGTGAGATCTGACAAAGTGGAAACTTCAGGTTCAGAGATACAGTAGCACCCCACAGAAGATCATTTTAAACTCGGTTGGATGTTATCTACTGGAATAATTACTGAGTCAGGACTTCTCTCCTTAGGTTTTTAAGCACAAAGGTATAGAGCTTTTGGGGTTTTTTTTTTCTTATTAATTTTCTAGATATTCATCCTTTTTCCTGGTGATTCTACCAGGAGTTTCATCCCCATCCAAGAACTGGAAGTGCACCAATTGCCACCTAACATTGTCTATGCAGAAATTAAAAGGACATTCACTCACCCGAAATAACTCTTTTGTACTGCTATAGCAATAACAGAGGAAACTTTAGGCATTGCTTTAAAGGTTAACATGGCAGCATGCGTAAAAGTTGTGATTCCAGAAGGGACCAGAAACAGCTCCCTGAGGAGCACCACCTCTGATCAAAGTAACAAAACAGAGGAAAGGAAGGTCATTAGAGAACAAACTCTCCTATCAGGCACACTATCAGAGTGGTAGCTGCTCTTCGGCTCCAACATGGATAACACTCACTGTGCATCAAATGGAGACACTGCCTACAGGAAACACTTAAAAGAGCGTAATGACGTGGAGATCAAAGATAACATCAAAGAATCCAAATGCAGATAAACTTCACCTCTGACCAAAGGCATCAGTACGACCCCAAAGACATCATATCAAACAGCACAGCCTCTAGTGTCTCAACTTGAAATCTGCACAGTGTGTACTAACGCACATTTGAACACATGTGTGAACACAAAACAATTAGTATCAAAGTAATCATCAAAGGTGATGCATGTGCGAGCCTCAACATCACGCTTGGAAAAGCACAACATACAAAGGTTGAATCCAAACTTCAGGAGATGTGAGAGGTTCAACCACATATCTGACAGTGCAGCCTCAGCTGGGATAAGAGAATTAAAGTCTCAACATGAAAACATGATATTGTCTGATGATACAAATAACATTATAGGACGATCTGCTGTGTGAGATAGAGATCAAACCAATGATCAAAGACAGTGTACATAGAGTACAGTGCATGCTTGCTGATGCTGCAAAGAACATACAGTATCTGTACATCAATCAGAATGAATAAGAATACACACTATTTACATATGAGGTGATCTCCACTGTGATGTGAAGGATTTGTGAAGACAGGACGATTTATTTCGGCATATATTCATGGACTTTTATTCTCCATGTTGTCCTCCTTAGAGTGCTCCAAGTATGACATTTTTCTGTAGGCCAATGCAGAATTTAGCATCACACTGGTTCCTTTATTAAAAAAGCCTATGGGATTTTTCCATTGTTTTTCTTGGCTGAAAATAAGCACTGTGGCAAAAAACGTTTATGATACTTTCATGTTTTTTTTCAGCAAAATAATCTTCACAAATGAACACCACTGTTATGATTATTGAAGTGTAAATGCATTCGCCCGAAGAAAAAAGCTAACGTTAGGCTATAAAAAAGCTACACTACGGTTGCATGACCCAACGTCTCCACCACGACAAGACTGTAAAGCCGTGTTCGGTGCAGATCGGCGTGATGATGTTCTATAGTCTCATGTAGCCACTTGTTAGCAACTGCCTTTTTTAAGATGTAAAAGCTTCAAAATTCATGAGTATGGTATTTGCTGACATTTTTAATGTTGTGGAACAAAATGTAAATATCTCTTAAGCTTGTGTTAACCACAGACCTTATTTCAGACATCTAACCAAAAACCAATTGAACCCATTGAGACTTGGGGACTGTGAGTGGTAAAATAGAGCTCTGCTAGTAGCACCATGGATTTTGCTCACTCTGGACTTGATGTTGTTGTTGTGTGTTGCATTGCTAGTGATGCAAAAGACACTTTGAAATCCAATTTCAGCAGGCAGGGTGTCTAAAACGCACTATAACCCATCCATAGAAAATACAGTTGGAAGTGCATGTCAAATCAAATGTAGTTGTGATGTGATTTTCAAAAATTATATTTCAGGAGCTTTTGCTGCCCAGACTTTTTAAAATCACTCTGGCCAAAAAAAAAAACAGATTTGGGCTGACAGTCTGAACAAGGCTTAAGTGTCCTTGTGGCCTGGTAGCAAATGTCCAGATGGCCAGTCCCAGTCTGTGTTCCAGGGGTTTACACCCTCATTTGTAGAAAACATAGTGATATCAGTCTTCCCTAAACTGTTTCCAGTTAATGTAACCTCCACTATCATGGAAAAGATACCTTGACACAGCAGTTTTTCAAATAAACTACGTGAGTAAACTGTGTTTTGTGCCGCTGCAAAGACGATTAGAGGGGGAAAAAAAAGAACATCAGTCAACACAGATTACCAGCTAACCTTCACTTGTCAAGATACAGCTTACATTATATACTACAGGATGATCTGACGTCAACGCTGCTGCATTTCGAGGGATATGTGAAGCGAAGATCAAAGGAATCCTTAAAATCCTCGTACAGGAGGGTGCTTCGTCTACACACAGTGGCA